TAGGCGGTGCTGTTTTTTTTTTTTTTTCTGCCTAGTATCCTACTCCTTTAGGTGGCGATATAACCCTATGGTCGAGATTCAGAAGAGCTGGGTCCGTCAATTAACTCAGAGAAAGGGATTTTACAGTAAGTAACAAAAAATATCCCATTTTTGGTGATCTGGAAGTCAGAGTGATGACTGAAGTTGTGATTGAGGTGAAAGGCAGACACTACCTTAGGAAAGAAGGCCTAGATGTCTTAACACGTCAGAGATCCACATCTACATGGGTCAATCCAGAGCAATGAGGATTTCCTCCATCTCAATGTTATGATGCAGGCAATGAAAAACGTTCAAGGGAGGAAAGGCATACATCTGGTTGTACTGATCCCAGTGAGTCACCAAAGAATCATTGCTTCTGCTAGAAGATCCCTGTACGTGAAGAGAAACTTATCCAGTTTTTTGTTAAATCTGGAAGCCAGGAGGTCCATATCTGGCAACCCCCACATATGACACAGGTGCTGGACTCTCCCAAGCCTGGACATTGAGTAAGGAAGTCCGCCTGCCAATTATCTGTGTCTGAGAGATGAACGCTGGCCAAGCTTGGAACTTGAAGTTTTGCCCAGATTGACTCTAATGTACTTTTCTTGTCGCTGCTAGACTTGTTGTTCTTCCCTGATGGTTCATGTATACCACAGCCGTGGGGTTTTTCAGTTTAGTCCAGAATGGATGACCCTCCAGCAGAATGATCCAGTGCTGCAAGGATCGCTAAATTGCCTTAACAATCCAAGAAGTTCACCCAGAGATGAAACTCCTCACAGAATCTAGTGCCTTACACTGTGAGGTTGCCCAGGACTCTTCCTCAGCCCAACAGACTGGCATTGATTGGTAGAATCTTCCATAAGATAGGAAGGAAACTTTTTTTATTCCAGATCCAGATTTCTGAGCCACCAATCCAGGAGCAACCTGGCCCTTTAGTTCCAAACAAATTGGTCTTATTAGCCACCGGACTGTCTTGTCCCACAATGACAGAATGCTGTGTTATAGAAGTCTGGAGTGAAACTGGGCAATTGATCTTGCCTTGAAGGAGGCTGCCATCAGGCCCGGAACTCTTATGTAAAAAGTGGAGAGTGGAACAATTCCTAAACTGAAGAGCTTGAATTTGAGATCTGAGAGTATAAAGTTTCTCCTTTTGGGAGAAATACATTGGCCTGATCTGTGTCATGAGCTAGACATAGATACTCCAAACAATGAGTCAGTTGAAGTGATGAGTGTGACGGACACAAGATCGCTGCCACCAATATGTGACGATCCCACGATCGCTGTCACCAATATGTGACGGATGCGGCGTCAGACCCCTGACCTCGCCAAACTCGTGACCGAAGGACTGGCCAATATGAAACCGCGATGTCACGTGCGTAACAATGCCACACCCAGCTGCACCCTGCACAACGATTTTCCTGCTAATTGGACCATAATCTATGTACCGGCAGTCTGAGCGATTTGTTACTGGGTCAGGTTAATTACTCAATTAACCCTTCACACTGCCACCACCTCCTTTTTGTACAGAGAAAGAGGAAACTCGGCGATATCAGCTATAACACTATAATGGTTGATATAATCGTCTGTATAACATGGTCACCGCAGGCCGGTTATACTGGGGGTTAAACAAACACAGTAGCTCTCTTTTTTTAGAGACAGGAATTCGTTAATTGCAATAAAGAGCTATAGAAACAGTTCAACACTTTCAGAAGGAAAGATTTATTACTAAAAGGTCAAACGAGGCAATAAAAATATTTACAGAAAAAAGATGTAACCAATATATATATACAGTTGGGCAAAAAAGTATTTAGTCAGCCACCAATTGTGCAAGTTCTCCCACTTAAAAAGATGAGAGATGCCTGTAATTGTCATCATAGGTAGACCTCAACTATGAGAGACAAAATGAGAAAAAAAATCCAGACAATCGCATTGATTGATTTGGAAAGAATTTATTTGCAAATTATGGTGGAAAATAAGTATTTGGTCACCTACAAACAAGCAAGATTGCGATCGCCGGTGCGCTGTGTCCCTCGGAGACAGCAGATCACGGAAAGAGCCGAAAATGTCGGCTCGGTCATGTGAATAGCTGTGTCCAATCACAGCTGATCACATGTAAACATGGAAATGCCGGTTACCGGCATTTCTCTCCTCTCGAGCTGTCACGCTGACAGCTCGAGAGGAGAGGAGAGCCGGTAATCGGCTTTTGCGCGGAGGGGACATGTACACTTATCATCAGGGCACTGATGATCAGTGTGGCCCCTGAAGTGCTACCTGTCAGTGTCCATCAGTGCCAGCAGTTAGTGCTCATCAGTGCACATCAATGCCACATATCAGTGCCCATCTGAGCTGCCTTTCAGTGTCACCCTTCAGTGCCACCTATCAATGCCAATCAGTGCCAGTCAGTGCCGCCTATCAGTGCCATATATTAGTGTCATGTATCAGTGCTGCCTTTCAGTGCCCATCAGTGATGCCTGTCAATGCCCATCAGTGCCACCTATCAGTGCCCATCACTGCAGCCTCATTAGCGCACATCAGTGAAGGATAAAAATCACTTATTTACAAAATTGTATAACAAAAACTAAGAAAAAAATGTTTTTTTTCCCCAAAATTTTCAGTGGTTTTTGGTTTAAGAAAAAATTAAAATCCCAGAGGTGAATAATAACCACCAAAACAAAGCTCTATCTGTCTTAAAAAAATATCAATTTCATATGGGTACACTGTTGCATGACCGTGCAATTGTCATTCAAAGTGCGACAGCTGGAAATTGGCCTGGGCAGGAAGGGGGTATAAGTGCCCTGTAGGCTAGTGATTAAGGTAACAAAACCAGCGTAATTATGGATCCAAAGACATGCTGGTAGGTTAATTGGACCCTGTCTAAATTGGCCCTAGTATGTGTATGTATGAATGTGAGTTAGGGACCTTAGATTGTACACCCTTTGAGGGTTAGGGACTGATGTGAATGTACAATATATATGTAAAGTGCTGCGTAAATTGACGGCGCTATATAAGTACCTATAATAATAAAGGAGGGGGCATCAAAGGAGCCAAACATTCATAGGTTAAAAAGAATCCATGTGATATAGGGGGGGTCATATGGGGATCAGTAGTCATCAGATAGGTACAGGTATTCAGCTTCCATTCACTACATTTCAAAGCAGAAAAGTATAAACATTTCTTCAGAACCCCTAGAGGCCATTCTTGCAATTAGGGAAAGAGGAATAAAAGGCAACAAAGTAATATGAACCAAGCCATAGATGGGGGTACCTCAAGACTGACAGGTGTAAACAGACAGGCAGTTCGTTTACATCCAACCACCCATAGAGGACAGCGGGCTGTGTCTGTTCTACATAAGTGGAGCATACACGGACCAGCCATCTACCTACTTAGCGGGGATAAGCTGACAGATTCCTCACTGAACAAGAGTGTGGAAGGAGCCTAAGCGTAGATTTAGATGCGCGTCTTAAGTCTCGCTTGCTTCAGAAGCCTAATCCGTATTAAAGTTCCTGCTCCAGTGGCTACTGTTTTAACCCAATTTTGGCCGACAAATATGCTGCAACCACGTGTATTGAACGCAGTTGCTGGGCATTTGTGGCAATTCCCCATTGACTTGAATGTGTAGTGCTTGGTGGGCACAAAGCGAATCAATGTTGCCGCGGTCGCAAAGTGGTGCATTGCAGCCGCAGCTTGTAAACATCTCCTGTCTGCTGCCTATTGCACCTTAAAGGGGGACGGTTGGCAGATGGCAGAAATGCAGCTCAACAGCACATTTTTGCTGCCCCCCCAACCGCAAGGCTAAGCAAGGCCTAGGGCTTCATTCACGTGGGGCATACTACAACAAGATTGTGTTTAGCTGCACAGCAATGTACAACTGTTCCGTGCATCCCCATGCAGGCAGTCCCATCAATGTCAATTGGGACACAGTGATTGCAGGGTAATGCACAGGTGTTCCGTGCATTCCTGTGCAGACAGTCCCATTCGTGTCAGTTGGGATGCAGCGGCTGCATGGACATAGCACCTTTTCATTCTACTGGTCACGTGCTTTCATAAAATATATGGTTTGAGGGGTCTTTTACAATATCTGAAAGCTGTAAGTAAAAAATAAAAACCTCCAGATTTTAGAAAAATTTGGTTCTTTACGGTTTTGCGTACGTTTTGATTTTCACCATTTTGCAAATGGGCTCAATTTAAAATGTACAAATATTTGTTATTTATTAACTCAATATGTTAAACTTTTATATTTTGTAGGAATCTAGCAGGCATTTTTGAAAATCTGCTAATAATAATTTTAGTCTATCTTTAGCAAAAATATTTTTCAATAAACATTTGTGCAAATATGAGGCCCTAAAAATCAGTAGCACCTTTTCAATCTACTGGTCACGTGCTTTCATAAAATATATGGTTTGAGGGGTCTTTTACAACCTCTGAAAGCTGTAAGTGAAAAATGAAAACCTCCAGATGTTGAGAGAAATTTGGCTATTTACAGTTCTGCATATGTTTGATTTTCACCATTTTGCAAAAATGTGCAATTTTAAATTTACAAATATTTATTATTTAACTCAATACAGGTTAAACTTCTATATTTAGTAGGAATTTAGCAGGAATTTTGTAGAATTCGCTGTGCTTGTATCTGCTAATAATGATTTTAGTGTATTTTTAGCAAAAATATTGTTTTGATAAACGTTTGCGCATATATCATGGGGCCCTAAAAATCAGTAGTACCTTCTTTTTATTCTACTGATCATGCACTTTCAGAAAATATATGGGTTATGTGATCTTTTACAAACTCTGAAAGCTGTAAGGGGAAAAATAAAAAAAAAACAATGGGAAAATTGCACAAATGGTCCAACCAGCTGAGTTTAAAAGTGGAACGCAGGGCCTGGAAGTGAAAGGTTAAAGTCTGCATGATGTAGATTTCCTACATGACTTCTTTCTTTAGGTATTGTCCATTATAATTATATTTATGTGGTTTTTATTTTTCACAGAGGATTCGCCTTGAAAGATGACACAACAAATAAAACAAAAGATACATTGTGTAAAGATAAAAACAGCTTTACATCACATTTAATCAAAATTGCAAATAGAACTTCTACAATAAAAAGGTATGTGTGAAGAATTTTTTGGGAACTGTACTTTTATGATATATATATATTTTGTAAATAAAAAGTTATGATTTACAAAGGGGGAAAAAAGTACATTAATTGTACATCAGAGGATGCAACACAGAGGACTTTATACACATGACTACTTAGGTTATGCTTCCACCTTCAAGTGAATGGACGCATGGCAAAAAAAGGAGGGAATCCCTGCCCAGGCACAAGCTCTCCCAGCTTAGCTAAGCCTCAGTTTTGTGCTAGCATCTGAAGATGATAGATGTGCCTCCTTGTGTCTCGAAGATTTTATTTTTTTTTTTTTGGATTCTATTACCAAAATTTTGGCCTGTCCCTTAGACCTCTACTGGGACAGGACTGGGTTCTAACCGGATTGGTCAATACTGCCAGCAGGCCAAGAGGTACTATACCTGGACTTCACATGCAAGAGTGGGAAGGGCCTCTGTCTGCCGATCGACTATAGGTTCTGTAGGCCGCAACCTCTGATGTACAGCATACCTGGTGACCTCTCTTCCAGAGATCTCTACAGTTTCAGAGCAGTGATCCCTCTGGAAGGAAGTTGGATCCCCTAAGGCCTGTGGGGTGTGCCCTCCCTGATGGGGGAAGTTTGGGCCTCATGGCCATTCAGAATGAACTGGTCTGTGCATATGTATAGTGTGAAAGTCCCTCCCTTGGCAGTGTTCCATGGGTTTGCAACCATATATGTAGCTGTGGCAGTGTGAAAAGTGTGGTCCAGTGCAGTTTGTGTGCATGTGATGATGTTATATCACACATCTGTGCATTTGCGAGTACCATTTTTTTCTGGCTTCCAGTAGGACATACGTTAGCTCCACTTCTGGCCCCTGTTCCGACACAATGCTGAATCATCAGCACCATCATGCTTCCAACGGTCTTCAGCCAACTGATACTTACATCTCTGGGAACAGCAAGCATTGAGACACTGTCATAAATCTCAGGGCATAAGGTATCTTCATATCCACTATGGTAGGGTTATGCTGCCGTATTCAGGTGATTGGACACTGGCTAAAAAAAAGGCAGAAAATTCCCTGGTTGCCATAGACCCACCTTTCTAGACGGGGCTTCAATGTTTTCTATGCTTAGATGAATTGCACCCAGACACCACACTGGACACGCGTGGATGTTGCTGGTCAGGACTGGACCCTGTGCAATAATTTATAGCCTTGCTGACCAGTAAGGTGCTATACAGGTCCAGGGCAGTGATCCCCAGCTGGAGAGTCAAGTCCCTGAAGGTCTATGTGATAGGGCCTACTGTGTTGAGTGAAGATTGAACCCCCCCAGCAGCTGGAATGTTGGGTTCCCTGGAGTAGTACATGCTGGTATCCCCCTTAAGCACTTCAGCTCCAGGGATGTACCCATATGTCGCTGGACTTTGAGCCATTTTACTGGGGTGGTGTCTACAGCTGCAGGCATCATCCCGGTACCATTATTCAGAGCTGACGGTCGGCTTTCTTGTAATCGCAATTGGAGTGGTAACTGGCCGCTGGATTGTTATTATAAGCAGCGCGAGGAGACGTCCCCCTCACCGCCTTCTGCAGCTTTGTTCCCGTCCCTCCGTGCTTGCAGTCAAAGGTGAACACACGTAATGGTCCCGCATGCATGCAAACAGCGATCGTCCCACACGTGAGGTATCGCCGTGAACATCAAATCATGAACGGTAATTCTAGCACCAGATTTCCTCTGTAAATCTAAAGTGGTAACCTGTAAAGGCTTAAAGCGTCGCCTATGGATAGTATAATTTATGTAGTTTGACACTGTTGCATGGGTGGGCACAATTTTAAAGTGTGACATGTTTGGTATCTATGTATTTACTCAGTGTAACATCATCTGTTATATTTTACAAAAATGGGTTATGTATTGTGTTTTTTTTTTGCATGTAAATGTTAAAAATAGTGTTTTTCCCCAACAAATTGCGTTTTAAAAACCTGCGCAAATACCGTGTGACATAAAAAAAACCCACCAATGTATTTTCTAGGCCCTCTGCTATAAAACAAAATATATGTTTGGTTCGAAGTCATTTTCTAGCATAACATACTGATTGTTACATGTAAAACAAAAGGTGCCAGAAAAGGCTTTGCTGGAAGTCTTTCAAGTTCTCGTGACATGTCCCTCTGGGCAGAAAAGAGGACAGCGCATGGCTCACATTTTGTTGGAGTGTATTGTTTTGTTACAGCCTTCTGGGCCTCCTGGGGCGCTGTAGTACACTGTGGTGGCAGGGCTTAGTGGCAGGCTCAGAGTGCCAAAGGTGTAGTCAGTCTTCTTGCCCCCTGTATTCACTCACAATCAACTCAGACTATGTCTGCATCACAGTGCCGCCTATCTTGTCAAGAGTGGAGGCAGGCATGCTGGCAACAACCATCTTGGACCACTTGTGAGCCGCTGTCTGAGGAAAAACTCCCTGCTTTCATGGGACTACAGATCGCTATAGAACGCTCCTTATTGTGGACTACAGGTCACACCACAACATCTGGACTACAGGTCACAGCATTGCACTTCTTATAGTGGGACTGCAAGTCACAACAGGTATTAAAGGGGCCACACAAAACAGTTTTCTCTGTGAGGACAATGGGGCAATAGCAGGATGCTCTCTCGACGGACTTGTATTGCTGTTTTCAGCAAGAGTCCTTTTCACACTTATTGGTAGGCCATGTCTATATGATGACAGAGAGGTAGGGGTTTAGGAGGTGTGGGATCTCATATATTTTCATTGGATAGGGAGGAACCTATACTTGGCCCCTTAGTAATGTATCCCCTGGGGATGTGGATCTGACTCCCTTCACCCATCAGGAATTTCCACTACTTTTGGGTCTCCTTCTTTCAGTACCTTTTGGTCAAGGGAAACATTTTTATTTGCTATTGTTGGTTTACAACACCATCTCTCTGGAATACTGGCTGAGTTGAACTGCATTGGTCGCAAATGGAAGCATTCACCCTCTTCTTCCAACCCCTCTTAACAGAAGAGGTTACAGGTTTTGGATTGTGGTGTCCACCTTACAATCCTCAGTCCTTTTCTGTGCATCCTCACTTTAGCGATGTTTTGTACGCAGACTGTGCTGATCCTGACAAGGTTTTCATTCCTCCAAAAATGGTGTGCTCAGCAGTGTCCCATGGAAAGTGAGTTCACTAAGAAACATATTATGCCTTTGGTGGATCCGGCAGTTTCTTATCCTCAAGTGTCCAGTGGATGAGGTTCCATTATTTAAGGACACTTTGGACGTACACCTTGAGGCCTTCTTTAAAGCTTAATTTAAGGTTGCATTACAGACAGCAGTTGCGGCTTTAGTTGTGTGCTAATGCCGTTAGGTGTGAGTCCGTTATAGACTCAGAGAGAGACGGATTCTAATAGTAGAGATACTGAAACTGGCAGAAACCTGGAATATTTCCAACATGTCAACAACTTTCTCGTTTAGGGGTGTTATCTGTACACATACCCAGTATTTATGGCTGAAGTGTTGGTTAGCAGATTTACCCTCCAAAAAGCATGTGAAACATTTATCCTATTGAGGGGAACATTTGTTTGGTCCTGCTTTGGATAATTATATCCAGAAAGTGACGGTGGGTTGCCCTGCAAAAAAAGAAATCAAAGCCTATGATTCAGAAACCTCCTGCTACATCCAGTCCCAAGGAGCATTCCGTTCATCACTCTCTGGCTTCAAGCCCAAGCCCCAGACCCAATTCTGTAAGAAGCCATGGACTCTAAAGCCCTCCAAGCCTTGAGATAAATCCACTTCTCGGTGGAAGGAGGTTTGCAGGCCTTTATGGAAGTTTGGCAGGGCGAAGTCACGGATGGGCCTACTGAATATTGACATGAGAGTACAGGCTGGAATTTCAGAGCTTTTCTTCCTCCTGGTTTCATGCTTTCAAATTTTTTATTTGAAGCCACAGAAAAGATCTGCTCTTTTTCACAAGGAGTTATCATTCTGGTTCTGGAAGCTAGAGGCATTTACGCGAACCTTTTTCACAGTTCCAAAACCAAGCAGCAATGTTTGCCCTCTAGATCTAGATTTATTGGCATCTGTGCACATCAAAGATGCTTATCTGCATGTTCTGATCTTTACACTTCACTAATAGATTCTTCAATACATGGTGGAGATATGTCACTTTACATTTATTGTCCTGTTGTTCGGCCTGTATACAGCTCTGAGTGTTCACCATGGTCTTGGGGTTCCTGCGTAACCTGGGTATGCGGACGCGGACAACTTACTTCTGAGGGAGAAGTTCCCTACTGGCTACCAATTTGGCTCACGTGATGCAGTTTTAGATAGGTTCCCATTTTGCATAGTTCAGCCTTAGTCCCAACCCTGAGGTTGGGCTATCTAGATTTGACCCTCTGTATCGTCTGGGTCTGGGTTTTTCCTTCCTCCAGAAAAATGTCTTGCTGTGGTGGACTCTGAAAAATTCCTTGATTTCTGGAAAGATGGTAGCCTCATTCAAGGCAGTGTCCTTTGCTTAGTTTCAATCCAGGTCCTTCCAAATATACCTTTTCAGCATGGGACAGGAGGTCACAGTAGTTGGATTCCCTGATGTCGTTACCCCCCAGCATGAGACTGTCTCTGGACTCATCACAGATGCTTGAGATGGCAAAATAATTTTTTTTTCCTATGGAGGGTCCTAGAATTGAGTGATTCTTTCCTTGCAGCATTGGTCAGTGCATCTAAAGGGCTTCTCTGTAAGGGCTTGTTCACACTTGACTTCTTCCCAAACATCCCTATAGCATTAGACAGGCATTTAATGAGTTTTTACAAGCAATAAAAATGATCCCCAAATGACCTATGCGTGGTTTTGAGGCGTTTTACCAGCGTTAAAACCGCACCACAAATGCCTATAATGAACTTAATGGTATTAACACCCCGCAAACACCTGCCAAGCATTTGAGGAGCATCACCATAGACTCAAATGGGAGGCATTGAAAGGTTTCAATTCCTCCTGACTTGACATGAGGCAAAAAGTTTGACGCAACGCTAACGCTTCAG